GTTGTGTATGTGTACGTGTGCCTCAGCTCCAGCTAGATAAATCTCTTCATGAGGTTCAAGTCTAACAACTTCCATCCATCACCACTTGTCGTCATCCCAAAGGAGCACCCCTTCCCTCTCAGGTTCACTCTCACAAACGTCCTCCCTTTCTCTTGGTGAAAAAGCACAATCCACTCTAGTGCTTTCATGATCTCGTCATGCGGTAATTTACTGAACATCTCTTTGATGTCAAATGACATCACTTCAACTTTTCACACGTTATCAGAACTTGCCAAAAGCTTGTTTATCCGCTCCAATCTCCCTGCCATGTGTTCGACAACCTGCATGTAGTGACTATCCTTTGGCAAGGTAAACTGTAAGTGATTAAGTGCCTTAGCCACCAACTTACCAGTCTTAACCATTGGTTCGTTATATGTAGGGCAGATAGGGTGATATCTATCAAGATCCTTATGCTTTGGAAGCACATAGGATTTGCCAAATTCATCCTTCTTATCCCACTTAACGAAACCCTACAGGCCCATTTCTTCCACTTCCTCCCAGATTTCCCTATGAATGATCTTCTCAGGTATCTCAATCACTCGATATCCCGGGTTTCTGACAAACGTGTGCATCATCGCTTGATGATATACTACTGTACACATCGTCACCGTGACAGTCTCCCCCGGGTTTCTGTCGAGCGAGGTCAAAACCAGTTCCTTCAATTCCTCCTAAACTACATAGACCTCATCTAAACTTAACCTTTTGCCTTCCTCATTTGAGTCAGCGATACATACAACCAGTCTATCGGTACTTAGTACAGATGGTTCGCCTCTAAAGTTGCACCAACTAGCAAAGTTGTCGTTCACTTCCTGCCTGAGCAGTGATACCCTGTCGGTCAAAGCCGCTCGAGGTATATCATTGGCATTCGCCAACGTACATGTTGGTCCTCTCCTTCACTGAGTCAGAACCGCACGTGCTCTCCCACCCGGGGATAGGGCAAACCTGCACAGTCACAGGTTATCAACCTCTCGAGCCGTATATGCTCGTTGATTATGCATTAAGCCTCCAATCGTCAGATTCTTTGTCTGCACGATTTTGACTTTCTTCCGTGCCCGATTCCTAAAACAATTCGGTAACCCATTGGTCATAATGTAGTCATTGATCGCCTTCCGTAGTTCCACTAGTCTTATTCTGTCATCGAATTTAGTCTTCACTACCAGATCCGTGGACATACTCAGTCCAAAACGGTCCCTAACCACTCGTGACACTAGGCGACGCAGGTACTTCCTGGTAGACTTCTTGCTGAAGTCGTGAATCACATTGTATAGTCGCATAGTCGATTTCAGATTCCAGCCGTAGATCCCACCGAGCTTATTTGGATTCTTTAAGATACCAATCAGTATCTGCTTCAGTAATCCGCATTTAGGCTTCCGTTTCCTCAGGTGCACAACGGTTACCCGCCCACCTTTTTCGAAATCAACTTTACAATGTTTCAGTGCGTCTATTATGTCCCCAAATTTCACTGTCGAATCTCCATAGGCTTTCTTCACCTTCTTCCACTTCGGGTACCAAGTGTTTCCTCCGCTGGATTCGAATAAGAAAGTATGCACACCTCTCGACTCGTATCTGTCAAGTAGCTTCAATACATCCAGATACCATGTACCCTTGTCTCTGTATCTAACCCGTGCGATGACATTTTGTATTCATCCCACCTGTTCTCCATTTACCCTCCTCCTTTCCACTCGGCCCTTCCTCCCTCAGTTCTTCCTTACCCCAACTTTTTTCACTCCACTCGTATTTAGAAATGGAGACCATTGCGAAATGTATAAGTTCTCCAAATTGATCAGGTCGGATTCACATGTCGTATCTAACGGAAGTAGCACATAGTTCCCAGAGCCAAAACAGCCTAGCCAACGGTAGAAATGTGTGTGTTCGCGTGTCCTACTCGCTCGCAAGTGTTCCCGCCATCTAACATCCAGAGAACGATTGGTCTTACCGATGTATTGCAACTTACAATATGGAGACACGACGATATATACGCAACAACGGATATTTATAAAGCCCGGTCTATACTTCTCGATCAATCTCGATTATGAATTCAATATCTTCGAGTTCCATTTAATCTCCCCTTGTAAAGAAAGGTTGAATATACATAGCCTAAGCAGTTCCTCGACACGCGCATCTACCGATGGAATCCTGCATCTCAGACTTGTTAACGCTCTAACTAAACGTCATAGGAGTTCTGTCCATTTCCCACTTCATGTTTCTGCTTCCTCCGTTGAGTCCGTTTCTTCCAGGGTTGTCTGGTCTTTCTTCATCTTCGGTAATCTTGATGACCTCCTGTTGGTGTATGTCCTCCACATCGAAGTTTAGTCGCGTGCGGTGGCTAGCGATGTCGAAGATCGCATCGATCTTGCCGGTGTAACTGATGCCTTCGTTCTTGCAGATCGTCTGGA